AAACTAACATGTATTTTAGTAGTATGGAAAGAGTGCTGCTGACTTGCCATTCCTGTTAACTCTACAATTCTTCCGATTCTGTTTCCTCCCCAGATTTCTGCCATCATAGTGCATCCCAATTATGACCCTATATTACTTGATTCTGATATAGCTATCATAAAACTCCTGGACAAAGCCAGAATCAGCAGTCGTGTTCAACCCATTTGCTTGTCATCTACTCACGACTTGACGACATCCACAGAGGATTTAAAGATAATGGTTACTGGTTGGAAGGTATTGGCTGACATTAAAGATCCCGGATACAAGAATGACACAATCCGCATGGGAGCTGTTCAGATGGTGGATTCACTGTTGTGTGAGCAACAGTATGAGGATAATGGCATACAAGTCAGCATCACTGATAGTATGTTCTGTGCCAAACAAGACCACACAGCCTTTTCTAATATCTGCCCTGCTGAGACTGGTGGGATTGCAGCCATAACTCTGCCAGGAAAAGCATCTTCTGAGCTAAGGTGGCACCTGATGGGATTAGTGAGCTGGGGTTATGATAAAACTTGCAGCCTAGGACTCTACAGTGGCTACACCAAAGCTCTTCCCTTCAAAGACTGGATTGAGAGGAACATGAAATAAAAATCTGTGTCTGGAAATGGCATTTTATAATATAATATCTCTCTCAGTCTCTGCTGTTTTAGGCTTCTCATCCCAGTGGTGAGACACATTTGGGATAAGGTTAAGGTAGACAGCCTGGTAAGTTGTCCTAGGATCAGATACTTCATCAGGCTACTTTTACTTAACCCAGGACAGAGGGTCTTAGTGCATGAGAAGTTTTGCTATATTTGGTCTTTCTCCCCTGGTGGGAGGACAATGCTCCTGAGTCTGACATACAGAAACAGGACAGTAAACTCTGTCTGAAATTAATCTGTAGTGTGGAGTCCCCTAGAGAAATTGAGGGTGAGCCTCTCCCAAAGATCTATGTGACTGAGTGGATTAAGAGTCTAGAAAGAGTAGCCTGAATTCATTAAGATGGATGAGCTTGTTAGGGTATGTGCTGTCTGTATTGCCATTACAATGTAATCTTTTTCCCTCCCAAGTACATTACACATTTAAATAAACCATGGTTTGTTTTTTTAACCTACATACTCATGTCTGACATTGTTTAGATTCATTGTTGCTTTGTCTGTGTCACACTCTAGGAACTCTCTACTTCCCCTTCTGTTTGCACGTGACTCTCACTTGGGACACTTCAGGACTCTAAAAGGCAGAATTAGCAAAAAATTCAATGACAATATAAATAACAAGATTCTTTTTTTCTTAATAGATCCAGTGCTGCTATTGTACATGAGCCACTACAATGAAATGTACAGGGGAGTTCTCTTCCACCTTGTATTCTAAATAGATGAAAACATGAAATGTATTCTAAATACTTTTTTTCCAAGTGGATTTCAAAGAACTATAAAAGCCTCAGGAAACTTCTAATTTCCATCAGTTCCCACACCTTTGTGGCAAAACTACTCCTCTGTAGCTCTTCAGGGTGAAGAGTAATGTCCAGGTCTTACACTTAGCAGATGTTTTTCTTGAACTGAGGCTGAATTGTTTGACACCAAAGGGTAAGATTCTCCCATTGGGCACGTTGTGCAGGGGAGACACTTGGGTGTCCTCATGGTCCTTAGTCACTGCTCTTTCATCAAATCATTTCCTATTCTCTATTCAGTCATAGCTAAAGACTAGGGATTAACCCTAAAAAAAGCTGGGGAGAAGAGACAGTAATGATTGTCTCCCATCAATAATGACTCCTTGATAAGTTATACATGACCATATGACAACCTGGAATTTGAAGAACCTTCGAATAATTACAGTGCCCAAACCAGTTCACAGCAATAGCTGGATGTGAAGGCTGGGAATCTGATGAAAGGATTTAGTACTCTTGCCAAGAACAACTCCAATCCTGAAATCGTGTTCTGCCTAGCCTATTGCATGGCTATGGCAATTGTAAGCTAGAAAGTCTGATTTCAGCTTTGATTCTCTGATGTTGTAAAATATCGTTAAGAGTTTCTTAGCATTCAGTAGTTTCCACTCACTTTTGAATCTGAAAATTGCTGTTAATAGGACAATTAGTATTGGACATCATTCCATGTAATTTATTTTTTACTTTACTGAGCAAAAATACTTAATGTCTTATGCTTTTGCACTTTTCTTGTTTTTGCTGACAACAGGACCAGGTAATTTCGCTTGAATCATATACTTTAAAAGCTATAACCAAGTATATTGCTTCTCTTTATCTTGTTTGTCTGTCTCCTCCTGCCAGGAGATTATGCTTGGCTGACAAATTGCATGGCAACAACAGCAACAAAAATTCTGAATTACACGTGAAAAATATGACGCATGTCATTCCTCTGCTGGGAGGAACATGTGCCAGTGAATGTGTGGTACTCCCCCACTGACAGCATGGGTTAGAGGAAATTAGGTGTCAGTTTTGGAGAAGCACAAACTTGCAGAAAGTCAACATGTGTTTCTTCCTAACACTATTGACAAAGAATGAAATGAGAAAGCTCTTCCATGATTACATTAAATGATAGTCTCTACACTCTAAATAATAATTTAATTATCTAATGATAAACAGAAATTATAAAGATCTGTGAGCTCATTCTTTTCTCAGGTATGACACTATGACTGCATTGCTCTCCATAGCATTATCATTTTCCACTGTTATAACTGAGAGAGAAGAGGTCCTAAATGTTTTTCTTTCCTTTTAGGATTTGTCCAGTCCACACAGATCTGTAAAGGTCTGTTTTAATTACAGCTTTAGTCCTCACTCTTCTTGTTTTACTGAAGATCAGCCATGACTAGTATTTACCAATCCTCTGACTCCTCCTCAGTGTTGAATCCCATCCCCATTTGGCTTCAAATCACTCACAGATCTGGCAATGAATAGCTGAAAGTTTCTGGGCTTGGGCAGCAACAATATAGCTGTTCACTGGCTGTATATCACACAAAAGTACATTCTTGAAGAGAAACTTGTAGGAATTCATGGAATTAAAATCTCAGGAGGTTGCTACAGCTGTGCAGGTACAGCACCATTCAACCTTCCTTCTTTTTACAGTCATGATGCTCTTCAAAGAAAACAGAAGCAAGAAAATGGCCAGACATCTCTCAACCCCAGGATTCATATTCTACCATAGTCCTTTATAGAAAGATGACTTGGTTGCAGCATTTGCTTCTACTTCTGGACCTCAGCGTTTGAATCCTAGATTCAAGTCTGGCTACCTCTAAATGTAGACATGATGTTTTATTTCTATTATTACGTGCTGTATGTATTCACATGTACAAGTGAGCAGTCGTATCAACATATCCAGGCACCTGTACCCGAGTCTAGTATTCCCAGGAATTACAAGTCAGCTTGCCCATCCTTTCTCTGAGACTTACCCACAATAGTTTCATATTCACAGCCTGAGCAGAACTGTGCAGGGGTTACCATCTAATTCCAAAAATAAGGAAAAATAGGGATGAATATTTGGGAAAAAAAAAGCAACCTGTGAGTTGGAATCACTAATTTCTTTGATTGCTAGGCTCTATTTTTAAGTTGTAAAACTATTTCAAACATCCCTTTATAAACAGGTGAGGATTTGTGCCATCTGTTGGAGAAAGGGTGTGAAATAGCACAACATGGATAGCAACTCATTTTCCTTCCAAGGAAAAAAAGCTGTGGATTCTGGAAAGGCCATAAAGATATTGCTATGGAAAGGGGAGAGCAAAACACTCTCTGCATTCTTGTTCGCTCCAGTGGATTTATACTTCTTCCTTTGTATGTTTTTTGGGCTGAATTAGATTACTTCCAAAAGGCTGGGTGCTTAGCTGAAAAACAGCACTGAAAGGAAATGGACATACTGAAGTACGAGGTCTTTTCAGGCACCTTCAGTGACTCTTGTAGAATTGCCCTTGTAAATTGTTTCCAATGAAAATCTACGTCCATGGTAAGATTACAAGAAAAAATGTGTATTTGATTAGGACTTGGGATTACGCATAGGCTGCATTCTGCCATTTTTAAGGGCAAGTACTGGAATTGGCTTGGTTGCGGGAAAGGCATCCTGGGGGAGCGGGAGTGGTGAGCATGGTCAGGCCGGCGTTGCTCAGCTGCGCAATCCCTGCAGCCTCACGGCTCCTTATCGTGCCGGGGAGCTTCCCGCGTGGCCACTGGCTCTCTGTGCCATCTCCTTGGTGCAGAGGAAACAAGCTGTGGCTGAAATGTTTGTTCCCTGTGAAAGGGGACATCAGGTTGGTCAGACTTGGATGGAAAGGCACCACTGAGGTCGGCAGGCAGAGCCGCGGCTGGGGTCACCAGAGCGAAGGTGTGTGGCAGCGTCTCGGCGTGCCATGACCGTCCTGTGCCCCAGCACAGGAGTGCGGGTATTGAACAGGACGAGAACTTCGGCCCCTTCCCTGCAAACACGGCCTGGCCAACCCCCGGGCCCACCGCGCCGCGGACACGCGCGGCGTCCCCGCCGGGGCGGGGCGGCGCTGCGGGGCGAGGCGGCCGCGGGCGGTGCAGGTGGGGACGCGGGGCGGGCCCGGGGG